GGGTGTATGCACATAAACACATAATGACGATGCATGATCAAGGAAAGCTCTTCCTAAAGCAACATGTCATTTCTTAAAAGTTAAGTTCACTTTACTTTCTTAAATCGTTATTTCTGATTCATGCTATGAATATGGCATGTTATCATGCAATTAAGGAATACAACTCATTTTCTATATGAACATAAGACCTTGGAATCATGAACATAATTTGAGAACAACTTAAACATAACTTAAAAAAATTGCAACCTTAGGCCGAGAGCTCTTCCCTCCAGCCTTAGATTATTTTTTAGTCTTTTTCTTCTTGTTGTTGTGTAGTTCAATGATCTCCTTTGATATTATGTTTTACTTACAAGTGAAATGATTCATTGTAGTCCCATACCTACAATGAATCTTGTAAGTAATCCAAAAGACTAAGGAAATGATTTGCTACCTCACTTACAATTTATTTTCCATTCTTATTAAATTGCGCATGAATGTATTTATAAGACAATTTTTATTGGCTATATACATTAATTGGTTGTTAACCTAATATATGAATCTTTGAGGCAGATATTAATACTCCAATATTGGCATAAACCACTACCCTGTTAAGACTTCATTCTTATCAAACGTTGGTGACTGACAATCTTAAGCTCTTACTTACTTAGCTCACTTTGAACTTATGTTTCTACTTCTTTGATCTGTTGTTCATTGCAAACATGTTATTTTCATTATTTCTTACCTTCTATAAAGAATTCTTTAACATTAACAGAAATATATCATTTGAGATAAGATGTCATCCAGCGTCTCCCCCACAGAGGTGGTTCACCGGTTAAGGTGAACCAAGTCCAGTGTCTACCCCACACTGAAAGGGGGGGTTCACCGAATAAAGTGAAACCAAGTTAATGTCTTTCCCAAGTCTAAAAGAGGGGTTCATGGCTGAAGTGAAATGAATACTTTCTTGAGCTTTAACCAACATAGATCATGTGACCTAAACATTAAATATGGTGTCTTCCACATACCAAAAAGATGTGGAATCACCGGTCAAAGTGAAAATGAAATGCCTAGCATTTTTATGTGGAGGCAGCCACTAGCTACTTCCCCTATGCTGGCAAACATAGCTTAAAGACTAGGAGACACACGGAGAACCTGGTCCACCTGGATGGTGATCTCGTCTCATGCGGCTTAGATGTGCCTGCACAAGCTCATTGTTATTCTATTGGTGCTAAGCTCAGATCTATTTTACTTTATTATCTCTTAAAGTTGACTCAAACATTATGGAAGGCTGCTTCTAGTTATGAGATTTACTTAACTCTATGGATGACTAGTCATCCCGTTCTTTTCTTGAAGAATATGAACTAAAGTCTTACATTATAATCATGGAGCGAGTGAGACTTGTCTCACAGACTCCAGCACCCTCTTATGTGAGTATTTTTGACTTAATCGATTAAGTGTAATTGAGACTTGTCTCACATCTTTTAACAATATATATTATGAAAATTTCCTAGGTTTTAGTCATTTCATTACTCACCTTAACGTGTTCAACGTTTATTGGTAGTTTTGTAAAATTCTCTATGAAAGTTATAACTACTTATTCAATGCTATTACATTCACAAGTTTGTATGGATAGAGTGTGTTGGGAATTGTACCATTGATTGGCATACCCTATGTTATGAGTTAATTGATGTGGAGATTGGTATGACATTACATGATTTATAACTAATATGATTCGACATAGTTTTGCTAGCCAATTTGTTGGCATAAATCACAATTTCACTAGATACTTGTCATAATATTATCACTAGCCATGCCAATTCTTCATAAATACATTATAATAATCTTCATATTAAACAATCCAACTTTTAACCTTTGATTAGCCTATGAAACAATTGAACGAACAACTTTTAGCAATTTCATCTTCTCAAACACAAGTAGGCATGATAACATTTAACATTCATGTAGATAACACCCTAAGTATGCGGATCAAATATGTAGGTTTCATTCGACATCATAATCATGGAAATATACACATAATAATCAGTTAACACCACATACAAACAACATGATGGAAATTTACATCATTCAAATTACAAGAATCGGAAATCAGGAGAACTAGGGAGATGAACATGCGATTCATTAGGAACAACCCTAGTTTCGATATTCTTGATTTCTAAAAGTTAGAAAAGCCTCTTGGATAAAGAATTCAAGGAGAGAAAACCCATAAGTTACCATAGAATTAAATCTACGAAGAACATTTTGCACTTTGCACGAAAACTTTAAAGAACTTACTTGAATTCTCCTAGGGTTTCTTACGTTTTCTCACTGCTTTTCGGTCTTAGGGTTTATGATGAATAACTTGTAAATATTTAGGAACTGAATGTTAAATTATTCAACATAGTCTATAACACTTAACTAAAATAACTAAATTAGCTAATTACAAGAATGCCCCTCTTATATTGACTAGAATTAGAAGAACACTTGACTTAACTGAAATTTATAAATTGCTTAGTGATTTAGGTTTTGACCAATTTAAATGATTAATTAAGTAACCTAGGGTAATTACTAAAGTACCGCTAAGTTTTTAGGAACATAAACAGCCCTTTGGACCATCCTAAGTTAGGTACTAGGATGTTTCTTATTTAGTTTCTTGTATTAATGTCACCCGGTTACGTCTTAGGTTGTCGGGTCCCTTAGTTAGTTATTTTTTGTTTGTCCTAGGTTAGTTAGTTATCTAGTTCAGTTAGTTAGAGTCTGTGATCGGTTAGGGAGCTTGTACCCACATGGGCTGACCCAAACGATGGGCTGACCCAGACGCACGCCTGTACCCAACCGCTCTAACCGAATAAGTTAGTTTGTCTCTTGGCCGTTCGCACATGTGCTTGCACATATGCTTGAACATGTCTTGCGTGTACTTTCCTAACTAACTATTCTAGAAGGTTCATTTGGAATGTTTACTTATTGTCCCAAGGATCCTCATTATATCCTTGGGCACTGCTTAATCTACATGATCATTTTAAGTGGTCATGTGCTATGGTACCTAGGCTTGACACTTAGATGTCTAGTACATAATGTGTTAAGTTGAGAATCAATAATTTTATATTAGGGTCCTCATTGGAGGTACAATTCTTAAACAAGCTTGGATTATATTTTAAATACTTTTGTATACATAGAAATTGGCTAACACCCTTAAGCCAATATTGTATAATATGCCCAATATTTCTCAATATTAGCCATTGGGATGCCTATGTACCCCAATACGCATTCTTAAATGTTTACTAGGCTCTTCACTAGTCATGTACATTTTCTGGAATGTTACATTATCCCCCCCCCTAGGAACATTCGTTCGGGAATGACACTATACATCATTTGAATCAAAGAGGGTATTTTGGGAAAAAAACACGCTAACATACTTTAAACTTTACTCTTTGTGAATATCTGATTCATCACTTATTCTTGATGATGCACATTACCCTAATCTTATTTGAAGCTTTATATCTGAGATTGAGGAACTTCCTTCTCAATCTTACTTTAACTTAATGCACATCACACTCATGCAACACATAAATCACGCAAACGCTATACAAAAATAGCAACATGACTGCCAGCATAAACTCTTATACTGAAAGTATAAAACACACAGTTATGGACTTAGAACACCCAAATCTCCTAATGCACTAAATTTTAGAGTCTTATTAAGAAAATCGGACTAAGGAAGAGTATGTCTAAACTCAAGAACTGAATAAGTGAAGGTAACGGGATCTCATATCATCTTCGGCAACCCATGTTGCTCCCTCAACAAAGTGGTTCCTCCATTACACCTTTACGGTAGGAACATCCTTTTTCCTCAGTCACTTGACTTGATGATTTAAAATTGCAATGGGAATCTCTTCATAAGAAAGGTTATCATTAACCCCTAACCCCTCGACAGGTAGAATGGACACTGGATCGCCTAGACACTTCCTAATCATTTGAAACCTGAAACACTGGATGAATAGAATCCAAGTCATTCAATAACTTTAGTTCATAAGCAACATTTCTTACTAGTTGTAAGATCTCATAAGGACCTATATACCTCGGACTCAACTTCCATTTCTTTCCAAACCTCATCACCCCTTCATGAGTGATATCTTTAAGCATACTTGATCACCTACTTTGAATTCAAGATCCCTCTTTCAGTTATCAACATATGATTTTTGACGACTCTAAGCAGTATCCAATCTAGCCCTTATCATTCTCATATTTTCCAAATCCTCATGTATGATCTCGGGGTCAAGGATGGCAGTTTATCCCACTTCAAACTATTCAACTAGGGACCTACATCTCCTACCATACAATCCATCAAAAGGTGTCATCCCAATACTGGATGGTAGCTATTATTATAAGAAAACTCAATTAGTGGCAAGTGATCGTCCCAACTACCCTTGAACTCAATAACACATTCTCTGAACATGTCTTCAAGGGTCTGAATGGTAAGTTCTACTTGCCCATCCATTTGAGGGTGAAAAACAGTGCTGAGCTTTACTTGCATACCAAAACTCTTTTGAAAAGATCTCCAAAAATGAGAAGTGAATTGGGCTCCCCTATCTGAAATGATAGATAAAGGAATCCCATGCACCTCACAATCTCATCAATATATAGCTTGGCATAAGTATCCCTTAATAACATCTTATTGGCTTAAAGATTGAAACTATTTGGCCTATTGGATTTGAACCACGCCCCTCCCATTTTAACTATAACTCATTTGGAAACTAAAAACTTACTACCCTGTTTCGACAATCTATGGTAGCATAGCCTTTATGAAGCCAATCCATACCCAAGATTATATCAAAATAAAGCATGGTTAATTCTATTAGATTAGCGTGAGTAACTTTATTGAGAATAGTTATTGGGCAATCTCTATATACTATTTTTGCCCTAACATTGTCTCCTATGGGAGTACTAACTAGAAATGGTTCATCAAAGATCTAAGGAAGCAAGTCAAATTCACTAACTACTAAAGGAGTAACGAAAGACAAGGTAGATCATGGATCTAATAATGCATAAAGAGGAAAGGAAAAGACAAGAGAGTAACCAGTAACCATATCTGCAGACTTCTCTTGTTCCTCTTTTCCATTCAATGCATAGAACCGATTTCTCTTGGGAGGTTCGGCTGAAGCAGTGGGATTACGCTGAGGCTCAGTATCTGCCTTGGCCTGATTCTTTGCATTTGGGAAGTCCCTTATCACGTGCCCACTATTACCGCACCTGTAGCATCCATTTAAACCTAACATGCACACGGCCACACTTAACACACATCTTTCGGTCACGCTGGCCATATTAATCATTGACCTTCTTAGAATTAGTGTTCTTCGAAGGATTAGGATTACCTAAGTGTTTTTGCACCTTCTTGAACTTGGGCCTATCCCTAACTTCTAACAAATTCTTACCATTGCTCGAACTGGAGTGATCTAAGGGTGTAGATTTCTTGCTCTCTCGGCTTCAATTCCTCTAACGACTCTCCTCAACCTGTTGTGCATGAAGAATCAACCTACCAATGTCCTTGTTATCATGCAACATCGCTTCCCGGCATTCCTCTTCTAAATCCTCTACACCAATCATAAACCTTTTAATCTCATCCCTGCTATTGGACACCAGAGAAGAAGCATATTTTGAAAGCTTTACAAACTTCAAAGATTTTTCTCTGACTGACATACCTCCCTATTGTAAGTTGATGAATTCCTCAACCTTAGCCTCTCTTTGTTCTCTGGAAAATAACCTCTCTATGAATGCAGTCTTGAGAACGTCCTAAGTGATGGGGACTTGGTGCTCAACCATTTCACCACATGTTGTTCCACAATTGAGTCACATCTTTGAGTTTGTATGCAGCCAACTCAGCCTTTTCCTCTTCACTAACACCGATAGCACAAAGAATCTTGTAAAACTCATCCTCAAACTCTTGGGGATCCTCATTAGTCTTGGACCCGTAGTAAACTAGAGGATTCATTCTGGTAAAATCCCTAAGTCTACTAGCCATGGTGCTAGAATGCGGGTTCTCCAAGGGAGCACCCTCTCTAGTGGCTTGGGTCGTGATGTCCTGTGCCTGCAAAGTGATGGCTTGGGCCATCTGAAGTAGTGTCGCCCTTACTTCTCCATCCGTCGTCACAACTGGGTTGGCGGGCACTTGTACTTCAGTAGCTGGGCTTGAGGAGTATCTTGGTTGCCTCCAACAGCTGCTTCTTCAACTCTTCTGCTTGCGTTTCTTCTTGTGTTCATTTTCTACACGTATACACAAGAAGGAAGTTAGACACTACATGACACATACTGTTAAAGCTCTAGACAACACGAAAGGAAAATTCCTAACATCACAAAGTCTCTAAGTCATGATTGTGGTGAACTTCACAACCATAAATTAGAAACTACACAACCTGGTTGTGTTGAGCATTAGTTCCTAGGTAATTTGACCTCATGCTCTAATACCAAGTTTATCACACCCGGATTCTGGAATTCGAATGCAACTAGCGTCGTTAACCTCTTAGAGGTCGCAGACAAACCTCTTCTTAGATTTCATCACAATCATACAGTTAAATTTGTAGAAAATTTAGAACTTTTTAATACTTAATGAAGTGTACATATATTTCATATGATACTGCATAAGAGTGATATTCTAATAAGCTCAAACTGAAGCAACCATCTATTAAAATTTGAACAATCGATATAGAGAATCATAATAATAATTATAGTTTGCCAATCGGCCTTATTACAAACTCTTGAACAAATGTTTGAAATTAAACGCTAGGGACTATATCCACAAGCTATGTATATTGTACTAAATCTAGGATAATAAAGTGTAGAATCCTCGAACTCAAGAGGACCTACCAAAGTCTGGAGATCGCTAATCCAAATTAATTCGTCTAATCTTCAATCTTGTATAGAACCCGCACCTATAAAATAGTAATAATATATATGTTTAGTACACACTTGTACTAAGTTTGGTTGTATGCACATAAACACATAAGGACTATGGATGATCAAGGAAACCTCTTCCTAAAGAAACATGTCGTTTCTGGAAAGTCAAGTAACTTTACTTTCTTAAATCGTTATTTTTGTTTCATACCTTGAATATGACATGTTCTCATGCAATAAGGCATACAACTCATTTTCTATATGAACATAATACCTTGGAATCATGAACATAATTTTAGAACAACATAAACAAAACCTTAGAAATTTTCTCCCTTAGGCCGAGAGCACTTCCATCAAGCCTTAGTTTAATTTTTGGTATTCTTCTTCTTCTGTTGTGTAGTTCAATGATCTCCTTTGATATTATGTTTTACTTACAAGTGCAATGGTTCATTGTAGTCCCATACCTACAATGAATCGAGTAAGTAATCCAAACGACTAAGGAAATGATTTGGCTACCTCACTTACAAGTTATATTTTCCATTCTTATTAAATTAGGCATGATTGTATTTATAAGACAATCTTTATTGGCTATTCCCATTAATTGATTGTTACACTAATATATGAATCTTTGAGGAATATATTCATATTCCAATATTGTCATAAACCACTAACTTGTTATGACTTCATTCTGATCAATCGCTAGTGATTGACATTCTTAAGATCTTACTTACTTAGCTCACTTAAAACTTATATTTCTACTTCTTTGATCTGTTTTTCATTGTGAACATGTAACTTTCATTCTTTCTTACATTCTTTAAAGAATTCTTTAGCATTAATGGAAGTAAATCATGTGAGCTAACATGAAATCAGTGTCTCCCCCACAACAAAAAAAGGTGGTTCAGCCGGTAAGGTGAACCAAGTCCAGGGTCTACCCCACATCGAAAAATGGGGTTTACCGACTAAAGTGAAAACAAGTCAGTGTCTTCCCCACACCGAAAAGAGAGTTCACGGCTGAAGTGAACTGAATACTTTCCTTAGATTTAACCGACATAGATCATGTGAGTTAAACATGAATCACCGGCCAAAGTGAAATCAAACTGCCTAGCATTATTAGGTGGAGGCATCCACTAGCTAGTACCCCTATGCTGGAAAACATAGTTCGAAGACTAGGAGACACCCAAAGAACCTTGTCCACCTGGGTGGTGATCTTGTATCATGAGGCTTACATGTGCTGGCACAAGCTCATCGCTAGTCTATCGGTGCTAAGCTCAGATCTATTTTACTTTATTATCTCTTAGATTTGACTAAAACATTATGGATGCTTGCTTCTAGTTATGAGGTTTACTTAACTCTACGGTTGACTGGTCATCCCTTTCTTTGCTTGATGAATATGAATGTAAGTCTTATATTATCATCATGGTGCAAGTGAGACTAGTCTCGTAGACTCCAGCACCCTCTTATGTGAGTATTTTTGACATAATCTATTAGCTATAATCGATACTTGTCTCACTTCTTTTAACATTCTGTATTACGTGAATTTCCTAACTTGAGCTTTTAGTTATTTCATTACTCACCTTAACTTATTCAACGTTTATTGATAGTTTTGTACAATTCTTTATGAAAGTTATAACTACTTATTCAATTCTATTACGTTCACCAATTTGTGTGGATATAGTATGTTGGGACTTGTCCCATTGATTGGCATACCCTATGTTATGAGTTCATTGATGTAGAGATTGATATGACTTTACATGATTTGGAAGTAATATGATTAGACATAGTTTTGCTAGCCAATTTGTTGGCATAAACCACAATTTCACTAGATACTTTTCATAACATTATCACTAGCCATGCTAATTACATCATAAATACATTGTAATAATCTTCATGTTAAACAATCCAACTTTTAACATTTGATTAGCCTATGAAACAATTCAACGAGCAACTTTTAATAATTTTATCTTCTCAAACACAAGTAGGCATTATAATGTTTAACTTTCATGTAGATAACACCCTAAGTATGCAGATCAAACATGTAGGTTTCATTCGACATCATAATCACGGAAACATACACATAATAATCAGTTAACACCACATACAAACAACATGATGGAAATTTACATCATTCAAATTACAAGAATCGGAAATCGAGAGAATTAGGGAGATAAACATGTGACTCATTGGAAACACTCCTAGTTTCGATATTCTTGACTTTTAAACGTTTGAAAAGTCTCTTGGAGAAATAAATACAGAGACAAAACACATACCTTACTATAGAATTAAATCTACGAAGATTACCTTGCACTTTGCACGAAAACCTTGAAGAATTTGCTCGAAATTGCCTAGGGTTTCTTATGTTTTATCACTGCTTTTCGGTCTTAGAGTTTATGATGAATAGAGTGAGTCTAAATCTTTAGGAACTGAATGTTAACTAATTCAATATACACTATATAACTTAACTAAAGTAACTAAATTAGCTAATCACCAAAATGCCCCTCCTAAATTGACTAGAATTAGAAGAACAGTTGACTTAATCGAAATCTGGAAATTGCTTAGTTGTTTTGGTTTTGACCAATTAAATTGATTAATTAATTAACCTAGGGTAATTACTGAAGTACCCATAAGTTGTTATGACCATAACCAACCCTTTGGACCATCCTAGATTAGGTACCAGAATGTTTCTTAGTTAGTTACTTGTCTTAATGTCACCCAGTTAGGTATTAGGTTGTCGGGTCCCTTAGTTAGTTATTTTTTTGTTTGTCCTAGGTTATTAGTTATCTATGTCAATTAGTTAGAGTCTAGGACCGGTTAAGGAGCTTTGCCCCACGTTGGCTAAACGGGATGCGCGCCTGTCCCCAACCGCTCTAACCTGATCGGTAACGATTGTCTCTTGGTTGGTTGCACATGTGCTTGCACATGTGTTGCGTATACTTTCCTAACTAACTATTCTGGAAGGTTTATTTGGAATATTTACTTATTGTCCCAAGGACCCTCACTATGTCCTTGGACACTACTTAATCTACATAATCATTTTAAGTGGTCATGTGCTATGGTACCTAGGCTTGACACTTGGATGCCTAGTACATAGTGTGTTAAGTTGAGAATCAATAATTTTATTAGAGTATTTATTGCAGGTACAACTCTTAAACAAGCTTGAATTATATTTTAAATACTTGTGTATACATGAAAATCGCTTAATACCCTTAAGCCAATATTCTATAATATGCCCTATATTTCTCAATATTGGGCATTGGGATGCCTATGTACCCCAATACACATTTATAAAATTTTACTAGGATTTTCACTAATCATGTACATTTTCTGGAATGTTACAGGAAGACATATGTGTAGTGGGTTTAACTCAGACACAAAAGTCATATGATTCTATATGGGTGGTTGTTGATAGGTTGACTAAGTCCGTTCACTTTATTCCCGTCAAGTATACATATTCGATGTAAGACTATGCAATAATCTTCATAAATGAGATTATGTGTCACCATGGTATTCCGTTATCCATCATATCGGATCGGGGTGCACAATTCACATCTAGATTTTTTGGAGATTATTCCAAAAAGGGTTGGGTACTACGGCGAAGTTGAGCACCGCTTTTCATCCCTACAGGGATGGTCAAGCATAACGCACTATTCAAACCCTTGTGGATATGCTTGTGCTTGCATTATTGATTTAAAAGGGAATTGGGATAAGCATTTGCCTTTGGTGGCGTTTTCTTATAATAATAGTTTTCATTTATCCATTTCCATGGCTCCATGAAGCCTTGTATGGTAGGAGGTGTAGGTCTCCTATTGGATGGTTTGAAGTGGGTGAGCCTTTGCTTTATGGTCACAATCTGATTTTTAAGACCTTAAAAAAGTTTATATCATAAGAAACCGATTAGAAACAGCCTATAGTCGGCAAAAGTTTTATGTCGATCATAGGAGAAGGGATTTGGAGTTTGAAGAAGGTGATAAGGTGTATTTGAAAATTTTGCCAATGAAAAGAGTGGTTAGATTTTGCAAAAATGGAAAGTTCAGTCCTCGTTATGTGGGTCCCTATCAAATCTTGCAAAGGGTTGGTAAGGTTGCCTATGGATTGAAACTTCCTAGTGAATTGGCTTCGGTTCATCCAGTATTCCATGTTTCTATGTTGAAGAAGTGTATTGGTGATCCCGAGTCAATTATTCATATTGAGGGTTTTGATGTCAAGGATAACCTCTCTTGTGAG